GGCTTATTTTTGGAAGTAGTTTGCCAGGTTTTTCTTCCTAGTCCATCTTAGTCTGGATGTCCTGTTAAAACCTGTTCAGCATCATACCAACAAGTAAGCCTCCACCAACAGAACAGTGGTAGTTATCCTTTGATGGTCATGAATTGAACTCTAGTCTCCCACATGGAATGTAAGAATCCTACCACTGAGCCACTATTGCCTCACTATGCGGATTAAGTGACCTCAGACATACACAGTCCTAAGAATAGTGTCCAGTACCTGGTTAGCTCTTAAGTGAAGGCTAGTTGTGGGTTGGGCAGAGTATCAGCAGAGAAAATAGAATTCAGAGCTCTGGGGACAAATGGCATCTGTTTGAGATTGATGTGAAAGGTTCCCATTGGTCCCTTGTCTCTCCCTCTCTGTTCTGGCCAGCTCTGGGGAAGCTGGACCTCACCCAGGCCAGGGAGGAGTCAGGGAGGAAACATGGAGGAGTGGGCGTCTGGATGCTCAGAGACAAGCAGGACAAGCGCGGCAAAGGCGGGATGCCACTGCCCCTGTGCAGGAAGCTACCTAGCACTGATGGGCCAGACTCTTCCTGCTGCTTCTGCTGAGGCTGCCACACCCTGCTTTCTTCACTTGATCTTAGCCAAAAGGCCAAGAAGCGATACACCCTGCTTTCTTATGTTCCCTCCCCCCTTTCCTCCCACTGTAGGGGCTGCTCTTTTCCTCAGCCCTGCTCAGGAAAGAGCCCAGAGGTGCTGGGCAGGGATGGAACACTCAGGGTGCCTGGGCTACAGAGTGGCCTGGGTTTCCAGACTCTACCACTTCCCCATCTTTGCAGCCCAAGCAGGACAGAGATGTGATGACTCTTTGTCCTGCTTGAAGCCTCATCTGTCAAGCCAGCAGTGAGCACTTTGATACTCAGGAGGAGCCCAGCCTGTCTGCCCCTACCATGGAGCTGGTCCCTGCCCCTGTTTGTGCAGATGGGGAAACAGAGGCCCAGAGAGAGGTAGGATGCCTTCCCCAGGCTGGGCCTTTGCCCATTGTGCGGTCAGTAAAGGCAGGATCAGGACACTCACACGCTGGCCACTGGCCCTGAGCAGAGTGTGGCCCAGAAGGGAAGGAAGACAGATTCTCATCCCTCTGGCTGCTGGCCCAGGAAGGGCCTGGGGAGGCTGAGGCTGAGCCTGCTGAGGGCTGGGAGGGAGAGTGCTTCTGCAGGGCTGGAGGGGGTACCCTGTGGATGGCCATTTCTCAATTCTAACCAGAGAAGTTTTCACATTCCTCCTGGAGCCCCTGGGATGGCCAGAGCTTAAGGAGCAGAGGAGATGGTTAAGGAGGTAATCTGGGATCCAAACTGGGCTTGCTAGCCATGTGACCTGGACCAAGCCATTTTGCCTCCCTGGGCCAGCCAGTTATTTCCGGAGGAGGGAAGGAGAATTTCTTAGGCCTGGCCTGGATTGCAGACCGCCGGCATGGAATTATTCAGCCTCCCTTGCTACCTGGATGGACTCCTGAGCTGTCTGAGGCAACAGGTGGTAGGTAAGGGAAAGAGAACTGTCATTGGCTATGCCAGCAAGGTGCTGGAGGCTTTATTACATTCAACCAGCTGTTTAATGTTCCCATTCATTTGTTACTTTTAACTCCACTGCATATCTGGGAAAACTGGGGCTCAGATACCTACAATGGCTTATGCATACTATAAACAGCAGAGCCAAGATATGAACCCAAGTTTGTCTGGTCCCCAAACCTGAGATCTTCTCCTCCACCATGCATGGCTTACTCAAGCCTCCCCGCCCACCCCCTGCAAATGCATTAGACTTTTCTAAAAAGATCCTGCTGTAAGAAAGGGGTCTCCCAGTTGAGTTATTGGCCCTGAAGGGGCCCAGGATATCTCTTGTGCGTTTGGATGAATTTTACAGAGAAGTCAGCAGCCCCTTTCCTTCCAGTCCAGAAGGGAGAGTGACCCAGGCCACCTCCATGATGAAGTGGCAGAGCAATCACTACTTCTGAGACAGCCTCCCTCTGAGAGCCACATCCCCCCCTTGAATCTGCCTGGAAAATTGCACTGTCCCCAAAGCCCATTCTACATTCTCAATACACCCCCCTTCAGCAGTCTTCACTCACCCAAAAGGCATCTCTGAACTGCAGCTGGGGCATCATCCTCAGGCGTCTGCCACAGCAAAGCTTGCTGTCCTGCCCCAGGCAGGGCTGTCTGAGGGCCAGGAGCCAGCAGCACCGTCTAGTGCCCAGAGGCGGCAGGACTGGCCCGGGTCCCCCCTCCCTGGCCGGCGCCGTCTGTAACAACTCAGAAGGCAGCTACAAGCCAGAGCTGCTGAAGGGAGGAAAAGGGCTCAACCTGTTTTGTTAGTGGCTCGAATCTGCAGCAAAATGAGGAAGGAGCAGTGCCCAGTGATGAGAGGGCGGGCCCCAGTGTCCAGCCCAGCCCCTCCCCAGCCCCTCGGGTGATGGAGAACACTGTCCGGATCCAGGGCTGGGAGAGGAGATGCCAACCCCGGCGGGAGGCAGTGGCTTGCAAGAGAGGCAGGCTGGCACACAGGCCAGGCAGGCAGGCAGCTGAGGCCTGCACAGGAAGGTTTGTGCAACCTTCCCCGGGCAGACACTGGGGCCCTCATCCACAGGAAGTGCAGCTCTGCGCTCCCCTGTGCAGCCCTGCCTGCCACCTGCCACTCTCCTGTCTGCCTCTGCTGCCCCTCTGATGCACAGATTCTTGGATGACAGCCCCCCTGCTGGGGCATTCTCTGAGACCATACTCTTAGGGAGCTTGTTGTTGCTCTTAGATACCGTTGAGTCAATTTTCAACTTATAGTAACCTCATGTGACAGAGCACAACTGTCCACATAGGCTTTTCTGGGTTTCGACATTCACCAGGGCAGATTACTAGAACTGTCTCCAAAGTTGTTGCTGGCTGAGTTCAAACTGTCAGCCTTTTGGTTAGCAGCTGAGTGCACTGCGCCACCAGCACCCAGGGACTGAGGAACCTCAATCTTCCAACTTTCGGAGTCTCAGTTTCCCCTCTCAATCATGCCCAGCCTTTGAAAATGAGACGGTATGGAGAACCTTTCTGGAATTTCTGGTTTGGTTGGACGGGTGCTGGAGGCACTGTTTGGTGTTACCTTGGGAAGAGCTCTGGGTTACGAGCCCCAGACACAGCCTTGAGGAGCCCTGTTCTGCCCACTCACCAGAGATGCCATCAGGGCGGTTGCGGGTTGTCCACCAATCAGCCCCCTTGACGATGACTCCCTTACAACTGAGGAAGTGAGAAGGCAGATGAGAGCTGCAGCAGGAAGATCACCAAGTCCCCAAGTGCCATTTATGCTTGCTGGAGGTAAGAGAAATGAGACCTACCCAGATTCTTCAAATGCTTTCCTGACAATAATTTTAATGCACAGAGAGAGAATTCATGGCAGCAGAGAAGTGCAGCACACTGAGGCTGGAATTGCTATACTGTTCCTGGGAGCTCCTCTCTCTAGTCTGCGGTGTAACCTACTGACATCTCTGGCGTGCTGGCCTCACTGCACCAGCTTCTCTGTTGCTTGCAGCTCAAGACAGCTGATGGTCTAAAGCATCACCTTAATCCCCCAAGCTTAAATGATATGCTTGTGCTTCTCATCCCAAAGACTTCATTTCCTCCCAAAGCACTAATTTGGCTTCCCTGGGCTCAGTCTTTATATCTGTCGAATGGGGTGATTTCTCTCGTTTTGGGAGAAGATTAGAGCTCTGTTAATAGAAAGCCTCTGTTCTCTTATTGGCAGAAAACTAAGACCAGCCTATACTCCACAGCTCTCTAGGTCATCACCTCCTGTTACAGATTTCTGTTCTAAACAGTTCTTTCTACTCCATCTTCCCTAAAACTTCCTTCCTGCCCCTATCTCTTCAATCTTGTTTCCTTGTTTTCCTGCCTGCATTCTGGCATGTCTTTCTGGATCTTCCTCATGTAGGCAAATGTGCCCTCTCCTTGAGGCTGCCACATGTGAGGGCTTCCTTTCCCTATTGCTCTGGTTCTGGACGGCAGGCCATGCTGTGGGCTGGGGCAGTTGGGGAAAGAAGTGATGGGAAGAAGATCTGGAGAGATTCTCAGTCTCTGCTGTAGAGAGATGGTTTCTTTCTCCTCTCCCTTTCTCCAGCTGCTGGGTCCTTCTGCTGATCCCAAAGCTTAGGGACCAGAATGACTAATTTTAGCTTTGGAGCACTTGCTCAGTGCATCATTAAAGCTTTTCACATGTCCTCATTCACGCCCATGGGATACATACTATCATTAGCCCCATTTTACAGATGAGCAAAGTTGTCATTAAAGAATCTCATTTGAGCCCTCACAGACAGCAAGGAGGAAGACTGGGACGTGGACCTGGCTCTGCCTGACACCAAAGCATGTGATCCAAACCAGTGCAATTATATTTTTACTGGCAGGCCTCTACTACCAAAAGGTTTGATTCTTCTTTTCCTAGTTCTACCTCTGGAACCTCTCCTCAATCCAATTGATAAGAAAATTGAACCATGGGAGACACTGGGGAGAGTGGAGCTGTTGAGATGAAAGTTTCACCCTAGCACGTGATATGAGTTCACTGTGGCATTTGCATCATTTGGGGATTGAACATACAACCAGATGGCCTGATCTAGCACTGAGGCAACCTCTCTCACGGAGGTCATCCTGCCTCCTGATGTGGTATGTGAGGACTTCAGCTCAGTTTCCCTGCAGTGGTCTTTCCTCTGTTGTCTTCCTCCCTGGATAGTATTCTAACTGCACCAACTCCCCCAATTCCAGATACAGCCACACCTAAAAGAAGAGAGAATGAATCTTTCTTTGGGTCCCCATGAACCTCCTAGGAGACTTCTCCTTATATCTCACTGGTCACACAGGCTGTGGAAGTGGGATCCCTTGATTTGGGGGGTTACAGATATTGAAAGGCAACCATTGTGACTTGAGGTCGAGTCCACAAACTCCACTGGGCACCAGTGGTGCCAGGTCCTGCTGGGCCAGGGTCCCTGAGAGGACCTACCTTGGTCTCCTCTGGAGGATTCCCGCAGACCAACAGGTTCCAGAAGAAGCTCTCCGTATAGGACGAGGTTTGAAGCAGGTAGAGTGAAGGAGGGTATCGTAATGACTCTAAGAGGCCTGGATGGGACAGCAGGGGTGGAGTGGACAGGTCAGCGAAGCATCAGTGAGATGGAGACACAGGACCAAAGACAGATACACCTGAGAGTCTCCTCCGAAAAAAAGAACTGTTCTCAGGCCTCTCTCACTCTCTGCCCGCTGGTTACACCCACAGGCTAGGCCAGCCCCCAAGGGAGGCACATCTGGTCCTGAAAAATCACTGCTTTTTAGTGATTGTTCCAGGTGCTTCAAAACACAGTTTGCTTTGGGGTCTTGGCAAGTGTGCTTCATTTTGTAAAAGGTTCCCCAAGCAGCGTCCCATCCCTGTTTTGCATGGCATTTGAACACATCTGCTTGAAGAATTTAAAAAGTAATAGGTCCAAGGATTCAAACTAAGATGCAAAATCATTTGTTACAGTATCCAACCCCACAGCCAGCTGTCTGGCAGGATGAAGGAAGCCGCCTGGAGCCGTTCCGTTCATTCTTTCCAGCCGCAGCCACAACAAGCATAGTATTAAACCAAAGCATCAAGCCAGTGGCTGTGGGTTTGACCCCAACTCATGGTGACCAAGTGTGTAAAAGCAGAACTGTGCTCCGCAGTTTTAATGGCTGGTTGGTTGTGGGGTTTTTTTTTCTTTTGTTTTTGGGGTGTGTGTGTGTTTAAAATTAGATTGAGATGTCTTTGGGTAGAATCAAACCTCCAAACTTGTAGTTAGCAGCCAAGCATGTTACCTGCTTGCGTCACCCAACTCCACACAAGTCTCTACTGCTGAGACAACTCCAACCCACTGGGACCCTCCATCTACACTGGACCCTCCATTAACAGTCTAAGGCAGTTAATCTTTATGGGAGGAGATTGTTCATTTGTCTCCCAATGGTGGATTAAAACTGCTAACTTTCTGATTAGTGTCTACGGTGGTTTGAATCTACCAGTGATTCCATGGCATGGCTCTTAGAATGAACTCAACTGACCTTTCAACTAACAACCCATTGCGTCACCAGAGTTCCTTCTGCATCACACATCGCTGTCATCAAATCAATGCTGACCCATTGTGACCTTCCGTCAGGTTTCCAAAGCCATAAAACTTTGTGGCAGAAGACTGCCTGTCTTTCTTCCATGGACAGTGGCCCAACGTGAGACATGCTTCCTTCCTGCATCACCCTCATAAACAGCTCACTGCCGCAGAGTGGGGCCAACCTTCCACGGGGTTTCTAAGACTATAAATGGCCGGGAGGAGATTGCCCATCTTTCTCTTGTGGAGTCGCTGATAGATTAGAACTATGAGAGGAACAGCCTCCCCTGAATAAGCCACCAAAGGGCCTCTGCATCACCTACTGAGCATGCTCATACTATGTGCTCGATCTCATTGGATTGGGATATGTTTCAGGAGCTCAGAGCAAAGTGAGAATGTGGAGACTTATTCAAAAGGTGAGGGGGAGACACTGTCCTGAAGTGTATTGAAATAGAAAACATGTCCTCTTTTTCCATAGCCTTTCTCTTGACCCACCATGGTTCATTGTTTTTGGTTTTGGTTGGGTTATTTTTGCTACCTAATGCCATTGATACGTAGGCATGTGAATATCTGAGCACTCTTTTTTTTTTTAATATCTGAGCACTTACTTCACCACTCACCTTGAGACTTGGGGTGTACAGTACACAACTCACCAACTACCAATACCCTTCCCACCAGCCTCTGGGGAAAGGCATTTCCCCTTCCATGGGCCTACCTGTCCAATCCATGGTGTATGGCAGTTCTCAAGGGTATGAAAGCAGGAGAGCTAGGTACCTGGGTAAGGAGTAGGCAAGAGACTCTCTCCCCATGAGTCACCTTCTGGTTGCAGCATGGTACTGCCAGTCACCACATCCAGCATGGAGATGCTGCAGGGCACTTGTACCTGGCCTGGCTTTTCCTTCATCCACCTTCAAGTCAATGTCCAAAGGTGGCAGTGATTGATAGACAGGGGCAGGGAGGGGAAGACTGAGCAGGGCCATGAGTGGATGGTGAGAAGGAGGACCCATTGTCCCATTTGACTTCACTTATGAATTCAAAGATAAAATTAAGAATTCATAAGGTCATCTCAGCACATTAAATTCAAGCATAGGTTCTTCTGATCAATTGCATTCATTGAACGTCCCTGAAGCAGGCACCTTGCTGTATGGTTCCTCATTGTTTCCAGGATAGTGATCGCTGGTCTTCCAAAACCTATAGACTTTGTGTGATTTGACCCCAGCCTACTTTTTAACCTCTTCTCATACTCTCTTAATTTCTGGTATGCTTTCCAGAGTCTTCTGCAATTCTTCCACCTTGCCTCAATCTCTTCTACTTCAAAAGCCCTCTCAGAGTCTGAAAGTTTCTTCCCTGGCCCACTTCATTCCCTGTGTTGACCTGCCTAGCTTCTTCTCATCACTTAGCTTTCTTATCAAAATGTCACATCTTCTTTAAAGATGTGACACTAGATTGTCCACACTAGACCAAAGACCCCATCACACACAACAGCTTACTGCTGCTTTTTTCCGTGATGCCACCTCTTGCTGTTTGTAAACACATTTCTCAATTTTTATTGCTTAATTCTTGCTCTTTATTATATTTTAAAACCCACAATAGCAAAGACTGGGTTCACTTTTGCTAATCTAGATATTTTCAGATCCCAACACAGTTCTTGATATATAGTTAGTGTACAGATGAGATAGCTGACTCCATTATCCAGATGAAGAATCTGAAGCTCAGAGCATCACTCAGCTAATAAATAGTAAAGCTGGGAACTCCTTCTTCTGGTTAACCTGACTCCTGAGCCAGGTTCTGACCTGGGACACATCCACTCCTCCATCTTCCTTTCTGTGTGTCATGTTTGCCATTTTTTGTGCTGCCTCATTCAAGATTCTCCTTCTTCAGAACCTTTGAGACCAAATTGTAACTTACATTTCACTTAATCCTCAAAACAGCCTTGTGAAATATCATGATCACCATTTAATAGGAAAAGAAACGGAGGCTCAGAAAGAAATCAGTTAACTTGTGCCAGCGCTAAGTGGAAACTTTCCTTTCCAGAGTGTGGGACTGGAGTGAGGGGGCCACACAGGACCTGGGGTAGAAGCAGAGTTGGGAAAAGCAGGAGCCCATTGAGGAGGAAGTGAGACACTAGGTGGCAGGTGGCATAGGACACTCTTGCTCAGTCCTGTATCTCACACCAGAAAACATCCTCACCCCAGCGTCCTTCCTGAGGTCCAGGGGCTACCCCAGTGTCGTCACCAGGGCACATGTCAGCCCCCACCCCATAACTCTCTTTTGCTACCCAACCATACAGAATCCTTAGTAATGGGTTAATCACAGAACAACATGTGAAAATGTATTTGTAAAGAGTTTATATGTAATATTTCCTAGATCACATGCATAGTAACAACAAAACCATTTTGCAAAACTTTTCCCATATCAAATCACAGCATTGTTAGTAGTAGGAGTCTGTTTTGATTTTTATCCATCTTTGCCTTTAATTACTACTTCATTCTCAAGAAATTAATCGGTACAGGTTCACAAATGCTCTTATCACAACACTGTGATAAAATGCTAAAACGCTGGAGAAAGTGACAAAATAAAATCAGCATCTATAAAACCATTGGCAGTGACAACCCCACCATTCACGTCTGTAGCAGGCATGGAGGAAAGCACATAGTGACTGGGCAGTAAGAACAGCTGGAACCAGAACACATTAGAAAGTTAAAAAATAAATTAGCACAGAATTAGCCTTGGAGATATACTGATATGTGTGAGAAGGGATTATGGGAACTGCTTTTATTGCTATAAATAACTGTTGTGTTGTCATTGTGTACCAGCCAGTCAGAAATGACCCATAGCTGACCCTCCCGTGGGTCAGTAAATTGCACAGGAGGAGATGTTTTTATTAAAAACAATACAATCTCAGATAGGACACTGCATGAAAATTTTATGGACATTTTTGGGTCACCCGCTCTGAGAGTATCACCTGGTGTGGCCCACACCCTCCACACCCCAATATCTCGCTAGAGAGGCCACTGGGCCACACCCTCCACCCTCAGAGGGTGGAATTAGAGACTGTTTTTCAATTTGCCCCAAGAAAACAGTGACAAAAAATTAAGTCTTCTTCCCACTCCCTCAGCCCATCTGAGTTAACCAGGACCTTTCAGATTGACTCATTTGCAGCTGCAAGTGTATTGCTCTGAATTTCCAAACGCTGTAGGTCTCCAAAAGCTGGGTGCAGGCTAGTGCGGCACCGGGACCAGTCATGAAACGTTTGGGGCTTTGGTAAGTCCCAAGAATCATCTGTCAGTTTTCAAGTGGGAGGAGGGTATCCTTCAGGATCTCTTCTTAAAATATCCAAAATATGGAGACCTCCTGATTTAGTAATTTGGTTGGGGAAATTTTTTAGGTTTCATCAGCAAGTCATGATCTCACACTTAGATCAGAACTGCTATTGTGGTAAAGAAGTAACAACAAATTAAAACCCCCATCCCACCTCACCCCATTGCTATTGAGTACATTCTGAGTCAGAGACCCTGTAGGACAGAGCAGGCTGCCTCATCACTTCCAAGGTCAAAAATCGTTACAGAAGCACACTAGCACATCATTCTCCAAGGAGCAGCTGGTGGATTCGAATCACCAACCTTTCAGTTAGTAGTTGCATTCTTAAGCACTGTACCACCAAGTTCCTTGTTATTGTCTTCTTACTACATTTGACACATGGGGAAACTGAGGCCCAGAGGAACAGAGTGACTGTTTTAAGTGTTACAGGATAAGCAAGGCCTACACCTCACCCTTACATGTCCTTATATTCTTTTCAGCCTGGTTTTGTTTTTCTTTTGTTTCCTCTGCCCCTATCTTGGCAACTGCCTCTCAAAGGGACTTCAAAACTGTTTGTCTTCCAGTTCGCAGAGAAGCAAACTCTGCCTTCTCCCCAGATGACCATGAAGCAGTAGGCACTGGGGTGACACACAGTTAAGTGCCGGACTCTGAACCAAAAGGTTTGAATTCACCTAGAGGCACTTCAGAAGAAAGGGCTGGCAATCCATGTCCAAAAGGTCGCACAGCCATGCAAACCCTGCAGAGCAGTTCTGCCTGGAGACACAAGGTTACCATGGCTCAGAACTGACTCAGCAGTGACTGGTTTCAAGTTTGGGGTTTTAAATACTATTGAGAGCCTGTGATGAAGAGTTGGAGGAAGGAAACTTTGGTTTCAGCCTCAGGCAGCTCAGAAAACCAGGCATCTGAGGGGATCCCATGTGCCACAGATGACGGTCTAACTCTGCCGTTGCCTCTATATTATTAGTTGGCATTTTAGCGTAAGGGAAAGCTCTCTCCATGTTTTGAAAGTTCATTTCTTTGTATTAGTGTGGGCTCCCTAACATAAATAAGGACTTCCTATTCCGTTCACTGGCTTATAGGCGATTGCAAAACAGACTCATTGCCATCAAACTTATTCCAACGGTGACCTGTATATAAGACAGATTGGAGCTGCTGTGGGGTCTCCACGGCCAGGAATCTGTGAGAACACACCTCTCTCCTGCAGAGCAGTTGGTGGGCTTGAGTGGCCAATCTCTCTATGAGCAGAAGAGCACTTAACCAATGAACCACCAAGACTCTGTTTTGTTGTGCTGTTGTTGTGTGCCATCGAGTTGGACTGCTGACCCTCTAGCAGGTTTTCAGAGGCAATTTGTCACACAGGAGGAGATTGCCCATCCTTTTCCTGCACAGCATCTGGTGGACTCGAACTGAGTACCTTCAGGATTACAGCACAGCTTCTTACCACTAGGCCACCAGAGCTCAAAGGACATCTGTTTTCACAGAGATTAAAACATTCAGAAAGACTAGTGACTTGAATCCATCAGTCACTTCACAGCCGCGTCATGGGAGAGAGATGTGACAGCCTGCTTTCAGGGAAGATTTCCCAAACCTATTGTCGATGAGTGGGAATCAACTGATAGCCTGCCCCACACTGAGTTTCTGAGGCTGTCAATTGCACAGGAGGAGATTGTCCATCTTTCTCCCTCTGAGCTGATGATGGTGACCATCAGGGACGCATAGGCTTTAGGTTAGTAGTAGCCCCCTATGAACTACACCACCAGAGTTCCCACCATGAAGATTTACAACATGGAAAACTCTATGGGATAGTTCCATTCTGTCCCACAGCGTCTCTAAGTCGAAACTGACTTGCTGGATGTTTATGAATAAGCAGTAACCCAACCATATATTAGCTTGGGCAAAACTACTGCAAAAGAGCTCTTTAAAGTATTAAAAAGGAAAGTCATCACCTTTAGGACTCACACTCACCTGACTCAAGTTATTGTTGGTTGTTGTTCTTTTTCAACCACTTCACACTCTTGTTAAAGCTGGACATTGAACAAGGAAGACCAAAGAAGAATTGATGCCTTTGAATTAGAGTATTGGTGAAGAATACTGAATATACTACCATGGTCTTCCAGGAGGACAAGCAAATCTGCTTTAGAAGACAGACAGCAAAATGTTCTTTAAAAGAAGGATGGCGAGACTTTGTCTGATGTACTCTGGACATGTTGAGACAAGCTAGTTTCTGCTTTAAGATTTAGAACACAGCACATATGGTCAGCAGAGCCACACTGCCACTTCCCTACATCTTGAGTTGGACAAATCCAAATGCCATCTTAACAGCTGAGGCTTTTCTCTGACCTTTCAAACTGTCCAAGCAGCTAGTTTAGGAATTTTCTTCAACATCTGCCACCAGACCTCAGAATTT